GTAATGTGTGATGTGTGATGTGTGTGTGGTATATATGTGGTATGTGGTATGTGATGTGTAATGTGTGATGTGTGACGTGTGTGTGATATGTGGTATGTGGTGTGTAATGTGTGATGTGTGATGTGTGTGTGGTATATATGTGGTATGTGGTGTGTAATGTGTGATGTGTGACGTGTGACGTGTGTGTGGTATGTGGTATGTGATGTGTAATGTGTGATGTGTGATGTGTGATGTGTGATGTGTGATGTGTGTCGTGTGTGTGGTATATATGTGGTATGTGATGTGTAATATGTGATGTGTGACGTGTGTGACGTGTGTGTGGTATGTGGTGTGTAATATGTGATGTGTGACGTGTGTGTGGTATGTGGTATGTAGTGTGTGATGTGTGTGTGCTGTGTGGTATGTGGTGTGTAATATGTGATGTGTGATGTATGACGTGTGTGCGGTGTGTGGTTTCGTCGTCAGTATGATGCATATCGCGTGATGAGATTTTATCGCCAGGGGAACTAAGTTCGTAATGCTAATATTTAATGGCATTTAACGACCAACACAGCCATGCGGTGCTATCAAGAGAGGATGAATAACCCTTTATTCATTCATCAAGAACACATAATATCCCTCTCTTGGTATAGTTCAATTAACGCGTTTACGTGAAGCTGTGTAGATATAGACAACAATAACCTTCTAGACAACCGTATGCAATTTTTAGACACCAAATAAACAATATGTGCGCACACTTGTGATCAGAATTCTAAAATAACTCAAATTTCCTCTGTAATTTTTAGGACATCGTGTAAACACGATAACAGATCGCACTGACTTCTACATAACCTCATCTCGTACCTGTTCCACGATTCCCATGTTATTCTGTCTACATCTCTCTCATCTGAAACCAAATGTCCACTTGGCACGTTGAACACTAGAACCTTGTATGCACCTGTGCTCACCTGTATATAGTAACATCAATGCCAATGACTCGAGTATAATAAATATATAGAGACATTAACATTTAAGTATTTTTCTTGCTACTAGCATTCTACTTGCTACTACTATTTCTATTTCTTCTACAGCATATAGGATCGCTTATGCTCGGACCGGAAATTAAATTATAATGGCGATCGATATATGTAATTCAATTGCGAAACATTGTGACACACGCATATATATATAT